ATACATACAGTATATATGTATATAAGTATAATGTTGTTTCTGCTATCTGCTACATTGAAAATATGAATAAATAGGATTTTAAATGGTCATTTATTAAAATAAAACGGTTTCTTACAAACTTTATTTACTATTTTATTACATAAGTATGTAAGTAAAACTATTGTTTTATAATAGAATGTGTTATCTTATTTAATAAATGTACACATTTTATTATTTATATTTATTTATAATAAATTATATGATCAAGTGTAAGATGTAAGTTTCTTACAACATTCTCCGGAAGCTCGTGTCCAGGCAAATACTTGACATTCTCGTGGTCTGTGTTTATGATCTCTGTGAGCTTACGTCCGTTCACCGTCTCTTCAAACACCCACATGTTAACCGTGGAGTCAAACTTTGAGTTATTCCTTGCATTTGTGCCAACTATCTTAGCAATAGCAGAACCCCTGCGGACATGAGCGAAAGAGAGAAAGTTAGTTATATGTGAAAGGTTGCATGCAATATTACAATACTGTGAGTGCACACTGTTGGGTGAAATGTAACCAAGGACTTTACTCTCATTACAACCCCCGGGATCTTGCACCAAGGTACGTTTGCATTCCAAGGGACAGTGATGATAGTGATCAAAGCCTGTTGTGTAAGATCAGACGGTCAGTCTACTCTAGTAAAAGTGAGGGTTAACTAGTCTCAGTTTTGGTTTAGGTCATTTTGATCCCAAAGAAAGATCTCCGTAGTGCAAAATACCCAGAAATATCCATTTTGCAGTATTGTTTGGGGAAATGAACTATTCTGGGTTGGTAATGTGTGTAAACACTGAATTTAGATTGAACTAGAAACATTTCCATTGTATATGCATTCAGAGAGTTGATCAAAAAAAATCCATTATGATTCTTTAACTGGATGTATAAACATAAACTTGTATTGTTGTTACATAAACTACTACTTTTGGAATCTTGTTTAGTGTGACCATGAATAGGTGGTTTTAAAGGAACAGTAGCCCATTTCAAAGATTCAAGCTCATGTAAGTCTCAAAATTATCAGCAGATCATATTCACCTTAATAAATGTCTATCAACGTGTAGCTACATTATTAAAATCCTAAAAGTTTAAGGAAGAGTCCTAGACAATCCTACAGTGAATATTTTTCATGCATTGTAAGTAGAATATTATACTACACATTTCTGCAGCTGTCAGTCAGTACATTTAAAAAATTAGAAATGGACATAATACTGAATCACTGATGTGGCCAGACGGCTGTACGCTGGTTAGTTGAAACTTATGGAACATAAATACTGAACCCAACCAGTGTGACTGACTGGAACATATGTCCTACTTGTTTTGCATTGCAGCAATGTTACAAATGGCTCATGTAAACAGTGATAAATAGTATTCAAGTCGGTCCAAAAGCACATTCACAGCTGTTGAACAATTTCTGAAGTGGATCTCACATTGTGTAACAAAAACTACAGCGTATATGTCAGTATCATCTCTAATAATACATCTGCTGTTATGCCCTTCCAAATGTCATAACCTTAAACTTGTTAACAGCATGTGATTAATTGAACGGCGTGTTTAATGTTTAAACTATGCTGTCATATGATCCTAAATCCTTACAGCTCAACCAGTCATTTCTAAAAGATGAAAAATGTTACCAGTTCCCAGAGCCGACGATGCAAACTCTTTTTGGACTTGACATTGCGCTCAGAATCTTCACCGGATCCTTCGCTGAATTACAGTCACTCTGATCTGTCAATCAAACGCACACTAGAGTGTTTTGTCCGTGAAGCCACGCCCCCGGGCGTTATTGGTCACTCAGATGGAGAAAACTCAGTTGACTCCGCCTATTATCAACTGGTGGGTGTGATTAAGGATTCAAGTGATTCACTTTTTATGTTAAAACGAATACTATAAGTAAAAAGTTGTGTCAATAAATACAGTATGTACATGACCAGTTTTCATAATCATGTTTTATGCACTGACACAAACTTTAGTCTCAGTCGGACATAATGACACACTCAAAGCCAAGCTGTAACTTGACACTCAGCTAAAACAACACAGCTGTTAAGAGTACAAGGATGAATTTGTCTACAAGCTTAAAGGTGGGGTAAGCGATTTTTCAAAAACACTTTAGAAAACCGATTCGGGCCGAATAGCAAAACAAACTTGTAGCCAATCAGCAGTAAGGGGCGTGTCTACTCATGATGTGAGGAGGAGAGCGCGTTCAGTGCACATGACGGACATTAGCGAGCCGAGGGACAGAAAGATAGAGATGGCGGATAAAAAAAAATAAAAGAGGAAAACGTCTGCAGAACAAAAGAAGGCTTAAGGCAAGAAGTAGGACCGGTGTAAATATCGGATCAGCTTTCCAGCGCTGGAGAGAACTCAAGGAGCGGAAGGCCTGCGATCGGACGCCGAGGTTGCTTTGTTTCTTCTCGATAGGTGAGTAACACCGTGTC